TGACGAGCACATAGTGACATCAAAAGAAGTGCAACGTAATGGTGTTCAGATGTCTCCCCTCAAGCCCACACAGAAGCTGCTCTGAGGGTTGCTGTTGCTAGGAACTCTAAATAACTCCCTTTTGATAAGCCAGTTATTATCAAATCCAAGGAGTCTCATGAGCAGCACACCTCCTGACTTTTTTCCTTTGCGGACTTAACAGCATGAAAGCTTCTTCTGTTGCTTGAAAGACGTGTGAAGGTTCAGGTTTTAAACCTCAAATCCTGTTTTTACTTCAGAAGTTGATTGCACAAGCGGACAGTGAATGAGTGTCTCTCCATTTCCCTTGCGGTCAGAGAAGATCCTATTCATACGGAGTTTACAAGCAAACACTTCCTTTGGTGAGCTTCTCATGCAATTCAATTCATGTGCGTGCTTTCAAGCTCTGTCTTCGGGTCTGGACTAACATCAGAATAAGCGAGTGAGGCAGGCTCTCTTCTCAGCCCACCACAGCATTTTCTGCAGCATTCTGAAATGACGAAACACACTGTTTTCTGTATGTTGCTGCAGTCCTGTGAAGTCGCTGAGATTACTCATGTGTCAAGAGGCTAAGCACATACATGGGTATCCACTGTACGATGTACATGCATTCCAGAATTTTACTTGCTTAACAATTGATCTAATGTTTTTACTTCTTATAGTTACTGGCTGGCAGCCTAGAATCTGCTGGCACCTATACATAGGATTCTCCTCTGAGCACTGCTGTGACCACGTCGTGTGTTTGAAATAATATGTATTAACAGTTAGTACTTTATGCCCCGAAAATAAATCATTATTTATGGAAGACTTGGAATTTGCAGTCAGTACTAGTCTGTACTTGTAGTGAGGAGCCATCAGCTTAAGGCTTTGGCTGTAGCAAGAGAAAGGAAGACCTGTCCTTGGGATATCCTAACATTTTCCACTCCAGGAAGCCTCTTTCCTAGGTGCATCTTCTTCACTGTATAACAGAGCCCTGCCCTATCCATTATGGAAATGTTCAGTTAATGGACCACAGAGTACCCAGGGATCCATACATGGAGATTTTTAGGGAAGGTGGAGATTAACATTCACTTGATAAGGCAGTGGAAGTTAATCCAGTTGTACAGTGAATTCTAAGCTAGTTTTGCCCACAATACTAGAGCTATTCTTCAGAAAACAATCATGAGGTACTTGTGACCACATGTAGGTAAGACCTTTGTCATCAGCCACTCATGAGGAAACATGAGTATGTCCAAGAGGACATTGTCTAAAATAAGGCAGTGTGTTGGCCCTGGCTGTTGAGTCATTGGTATCACTTCCTGCAGCCCCTACTTTTGCTCCGGGTATTTCTCAAGGGAGCACTGACTTAGACTAGTCTTTTTGATTCTTCTAGAATGAATAAGATCACAGCTCCAGAGCAGTAATGATGAATATGTCCTTGATTCAGAGGAATGTGCACTCTTTTTAGCACAAGTGTGCTAAATCTTCCATGAGATGCCTGCCTGATTAGTTTTTATCTTTACACATCATGGCTCAACTGATTTGAAAACTTCAGTCTGTAGTTGTAAAATGGAGAATTCTGCTTCATGGGGAGAATCTGTTCAAGTGAGAGAGGTGTGCTAATGGCTCGCGTCTCAGGGTACCACTGAAAGCTGTTGCATATGGATCTCTCTTGCCTTTTCTTTATTTTAATGTTTGATTAGATGTTTCTTTAATCACTCAAAATTCTATGTGGAACTTCTGTTCTCTGGCAGAGACAGATTCTCACCAGGTTTCAGTGACAGATCCTTCTCAGCTACATTGAGGTTTGCTGCATTTGTAAAGCATCCCTTAAGGAAAAGGAAAAAAAAACACCTCACCTCCGAGTTTCTTTCCTTAAATATTGTTGCAAAATTTCTGACGTCAAACAATGAGACACAAATTACCCTGTGAACTGTTAACATATGCCTGTTTACATATGATATCTTATAGCCAAAACAGATTAATATTTGAAGGTTTAACTGCTGTTGAGTTTCCACTTCTATGAATCATACAGATCAGCTTATTCATCACAGACACTTATTTTTATTCTTTAACTCTTTCAAGCTACTTCTATCCAGAGTGGAGTTTATGGGGGACATGGGACATAGGGGAACAGAGAGGTCACAACTGCATAGCAAACCCCAAACTTCGCAAATGAAAGAGCAAAGAGCTGCCAGTAACTACAGCCACCCCAGTGAATCAGTAGCGGTTTATAACTTCCATCAGGTCAGCTGACAGGCACAGAAGCCTTCCCCAATTCTGTCCTTCCACGTAGTACAGTGCCAGCTGCAATTCGTGCTAATGACCAAGTCTCTAATCTTTCCATTTCAGAAGGAAAATTACTTGTAAGAATCAACAACAAGAGAGAGCCAGCCATCAAAAATCAACAGAATGGCTCAAATTCCAGGTTCAGAGAAAAAAAAAAATCATTCATTCTACTAGGATTCCTTGGATGTTATGATATATTTTAAATTCAGAAATGCCAAACATTTCGGGGAGAACTTCACTGATTTCAGTAAATACAGGCAGTTTTCTCTAGCAGTTGAATCTATGTGGTGCATCACTGATTTTGATGGGACTCAAGGACTCTCGTCAGCAATCCTGACATAAGCGCATGAGTGTTTGTCTTTTTCTGGATAATATGGCTGTGGCCATACTTGAAAAGAGGTATCTCTGATGATAGAAGAAAGAAACCTGCCTCTATTTAAATACACATGCCTCTTCACCTCATACGTGATTATTATTAAAATTAAGCAGGTAAGTGCTGCCAAAAATCAGTCTGTTTCTTTCAGCTGAAGACTGAGAAGGATTTCAGCATTTAGGCTGCACTTGCACTTGCTATTCAGGCTCTCTGATCCACTGATGCTGCCTGGCTTAGGCTAGCAAAGGAGAGAGGGAAGATCATGTATTTTGAGGTAGGAATGTGAACATTCAAAAATACCTTTCCACTTCGAATGGCAGTAAGTGAGTGCTTGACTATTTGTTCTCTTCTTTTACACTGTTGCTTCAGATTTGTTTGTTTTGTCTCCCAGCTGCGTCATCTTAAGCAGGCAGTTCACATTGTTACCTGTGGATTAGCTAACACAGAGACAGATTGAGTGCAGCTTCCACGAGGGCCACCAGCACTGCTATGGGTCAAGCCTCTCTCCTTAATGTACGACAACAAGGTGTAACCAAGACAGCAATCTGCCTAATAGCATTACTCATTGGAACATGAGGGTAATGACCATATCAGGAACTGCAGCTATCTAAGGGTATACTGGTACAAACACCACAGGTAGCAAACCAAACCTGCTGCCACCAGTTTGTCGGTACGAATTGATCTGGGTATAATTTAGCACACTCAAGCATCCAGACACCTACACAAACTAAAGTTGCAGTGCGACGCTGCGGCCGTGTAAAATGTATGTACATCCTTGCATCTGAAAACCTGGGAGACTGATTACCACTAGGGATTGAATTAGATCCATGAGGACAACGTTAATGCACCACTGTCAGAAACTGCAGATTGTTTAACCAACGCAAGTTTCTGTTTCTGAGTGTTCTGCTTATAAATGGTGCTGGAGTAAATTTAACCACAAATGTAGAGATGAAACCAAAAGCTATGAACAGTTTAGGAGATCCCCCTGCACTTTTTTTTTTTTTTTTGGACAAACGCTATAGTTAACATCCTCCCTTGCGCTATTTAACTGAAAATCGGTGACCTACCTTAAAAACTATAGGTTTGAGACCTGAGATGTCTTAAAAGGGACCTGATTTTTACAAATAAAAATACAAACAAGTACATACTGCTCAACTGTCCCCCAGTCTCTTCCAGCTGTTTCAGCTGGGCTTCCACAGACAGAGGCACTCATGATCACTGCTGAGTTTTGAAAAGATGGACCTTTGGGGTTAGACCACGTTATGAAAATTACCCAGCTGATTCCCATGAAGTGTTTTGAACACAAAAGCTCAGTGCACATAATATTGGCTCAGTTCTCTTTTTTAGCTATGAAATCAGCTTGCAGATTAACATTCTTCAATTACAATAACAATTTCAGTTTGAAGTGGTTTGCACTCTTAAGCACAATTGGGGTTAATAATGGTCTATGAAAGGAAAACTGTCAGCAAACAGTAACCCAGAAAAAGCTTAGCATTTAGGTACCTTAGCTACATTTTAGACTAAACGTCAGATTGTAAATTCAGAAAAATGACCTAGGAAAATACCATTTAACCCAGTAAGGATCCCAAAGCTCAGAGAAACTTGTATATTTTCTGCTTCACATGTGGCAAGAGATAATTGCCATCTGACCACCAGGCAGCTCCTTTTACCTATGGCTATTTCTAATTCATATATATAGTGCTTTATCTGCTAGATATGTTCAGATCAATTTACTTAATAAACACAGAGTGTCACAAAGTTTAAGTCCTTTTTTGGATCTGTGCCCAAATGCACAGATACCTGAAGCCTATATAAAATGAGGTTAACTGCTTTTCAGTTCAAGGCATATGGTTACAATATATTTCTATTATCTATAAATAAGTTATTGGAATATATTTGTAAATAGTTGTAGTCCCCTAATCTACAATATTAAGGTAAAGCCCCATGGGGCTTTCAAACACAAAAAGCATGAAATAAAAGCTTCTGAACCTCAAAAGAAAAGCCTAAGTTAGGGCAGAGTGTTCAAAAATTATAAAAACAAGGCCAAGATCCTCAAAGCTGAGTGGTAATTTTGTGTTCCACATGCAAAGTATAGATGCGCAGCACGTCCTGCAAATTAAGCTCTATTAAGGTTTCCTGAGGCTTCTATCAAAACATGGATGTGCTCCCAAGCAGGATGCATGACTTGGGTAAATCCTTGGGTCAGAGTGCCCTACTCTGAATATTCCCAGCAGTTACAGAGACAGTAACAGAACTACCTGCAATATTGAGCAAAGCACTTGCTATTACATGCCAGCAGAATCTGCATCTCCAATACGCTGAAAAAATTAGCACACTGACAAGGAAGGTTAAATGCTGCAAAACATGTTTTATTTATCAAATGCAAGATTTTAGAATTTCAGGCAGGTTAAAAAAAAGCCAAACAAGTTCAACTGGAATTCCTCATATTTGGCAGTTAAAAAAATGCTTTCAGTTACAGCTGAGACCTTCAACTTTGCCTATAAATGAAACACTTTAAATAACAATCAGTTACACAACCTACTTACAATCAGCAGCTTATCTCACAAGACCTCTAACAACAAATTTTCTCTGTGGCAGCAGCATATCCAGCTGAATTCTCCAGTGTTGACCAGCTTTGTTTATTCTTACTGTCAATCGCTCTTTTAAGTGCTTCATCTGGCACAAGATCTGATCCTTTTACATCAGCATGGCTACAGCCAATTTTAGGGCATCTGTTAAAAAGAAAAGAGAGACTCCATTACATTGGAAGAATTGTATTTTTCAGATATAGGCTTTTACATAACATCTGCTAGTTTATTGTATTTATCTGGGATTCACTGTGTCAGTTCCTCGTTACCTCTTTTCCTCCTCACCAGCTCTCTGTGGGGAAAAATGAATCCATTTATCTGAACTGGTGGGAATCAACAGCTGAAGGAAGGAAGGAACACATCGAGAGGAGGAGTGTCTCACCTGTAGATCACTCTCTTTCTTCATGTACACAAGCTGCCTGCATCAGCAACGATACTAGCATTGCATTGACAACTTTCTGTGTTGCTTTCTCTCTTTGCAGTCCTCTACAAACTGCACGTAAACACCTCTTACCTTATTAATCTGCAGTGGAGATGTATAATCTTCACTGATAGATAAATAGGGAAATTAATTTCTAGGGAAATAGATAAAAGAGAATGAGACTTGCAAAGACTGACTGGTGAATCAGTGGACTATCTAATTCGTGTAAAAATTTACCTGGCCTTCTATGAACTAAGGAAGCATAGAAAGGAGAGATGGAGTCAAATTAATAGCCTCTAAATGATAATCAGATAAAAAATGTCTTACAACTACTTGAAATAGACAGATAAAGACAGCAGGGTGAAAGATATTCAGGGGCTAAAGGTCATTTTCCTTTGGCAGTGGCCCAAACATGCACAGATGGTACCTGTAGTCAGAAACAACACTTTTCCTGAATTTTCCCTCTAGTAGGAGTAACTTTTGTCTGAGGTGCTGAACTTACACTCACTACTCACAGCTTTTACTCATGATTTGTCCACAGCTGACTGTGTTTGTCATGGATAAGTCACTTAATTGCTCTGTGCCTCAGTTTTCCCATTTATCACCTTACTAGAGCAATAGCTTGCCAGATTAATGAGTAACAAGTGCTCAGAAAGCTTCCCACATTTTCTGTAAGCTTAAAGTATCAGTATGTCCTTTCAGGCAGTGGAAAATAGTGAGCAAACTGAGACACGTAAGAGTTGCCTGAAGGAGTCTATGGCAAGTCTCTCAGCACAAACCTGGTGGCTGTGTGTACGTCAGCTGAAGAGCTGACATTCAGCTACTGTGCTGCCAAGTGCACCGAAGGGATCTCATGGATTCAAACTGGAAAGTATGTGTGAGGAAAGAGCCACTTCTGTAACTCCAGAGTGAGCAACAGCTTTGATTTCAGAGTCAGGACAGAGATGATCCCCTCAGCTCTATCAAGGCACCTGCTTCCACTTGAATATTTCTGGCAGGAGCGCAGTCAAGTAGCAACACCACGAGAATGGGGTACTCAAATGGGGAACCTGTTGCATCAACTGGCCTGTCTTCCCACCACAGCAGACTATGGTTTTTCAAAACTGACTGCATTTTTACAAGGAAGGTTAAAATTACAGCAGGTCAGTGAGACTGGGCAGAGAAAACCAAGTAGTCTTTCTTAATTTAGTTACAGTGAAGCCAAGTTATTGCTGTGTGTGTGCTTTTCTAGCATACTGGAGTAATTGCTGTAAAAATGGTAAGGTTGTAAGCTAAAAGCTCAAAATTAAGAACTGCCAGTATTCAGACTGCACAAATAACTCCAGTTTGGGTACGAGGTAGCTTTTAAAGCTAGGTGTTGTACAGCTTGCATGATTTTTTTTTACTCTAGAATTTATCTAAGTCTTTAATTTCTTAAAAGGTAAAATAAAATTCAGTCACCTGACCCTATTAATTTTTCAGCAGTGCTGAAACTTTTGATCCACCACAACAAACTCTACTACCGTGACAATTTCCTGATGGATTTAACAACACAGAGAAATATTTAGATATGAACATCCTAAATTCAGTTCTGTATTGCAGAAAGTATTTTTGTCGTGGTTTTGGGCTGTTGAGCACACGCTTCCTAGCCTGTCCCTATCCTCCAGAGCACTCACTTTCTTCTCTCCAACTTGTGAGCTATTTCCCAATTCCCATTCATTTTTCCAGTCAAGTTTCTTTCCAACCATCTTGCTGGTTTGTTATTCCCAGGATATTGCACCCACTCCACTAGACCTCATAACACAGGTAAGGGTACCTCCATCTTGCTCTTTGAGCTGTCTTGACACTAAGGTAGTGGCTGGACATCCCAACTGATGCTTGATTTCACAGCAGTGCTTTCCTGTATCCAGGAAGGAGCATGGAATAAGAAGTCCTGCTCCACCTTTGTATCCCCTATGGAGGAGTTTGTAGAGTCTAACAAATGCAAGAGTAACGGATGGAGGAAGTAAGCTGTCTGTGGCATAATCTGTGGGGAAATCAGGTTGCTAGTCTCTGACAAACCTCCCTGAGCATGTGCAAACTGCACATTTATTAAAAAGTCTACAACTGGTAAGTTTCCATGAGGTCATCAACCCCAAAGCATGAGGCTCTAGCATATATGATATAAAAACAAATGTGAAAGTAATGATGAAATGATATGACCTCTAAACTTGCTCTAAAAAGTGTCTGAGTCATTTTCTTTTTTTTTTTTTTCAAAAAATCAAAACCATCCTAAATTTGAAACTTACCGGGCAGAATTTCAGGTTTAAAAATTCAACTGTTACATCTTTTCATTCAAAAAAATATGTCCTGTGTGGAAAATGGCAGGCTGATTTGATGATATAAAGTAAGAATTATTTAATTGCATCGTAGTAGGAACTGCACAATCCTGTCTGTTCATTCTTAATGCTCTGTCTGATCATTCTTAAACTCTGTACTACCTAAAAAGTTGTGTTTTAATATTTCTCATTTTAACACTCATTTAAGTGTTTTAGTATTTCTCAGTTGTATTGGAATATAACTGCAAAAGAGGGTCCACAGAGGAGACGTTTATTTTTTTTTCATTAACTTCAGGGTGTGCTAAACAAGCAGTGGGAAGAAAATGAGCAAATAAATTTTAAGAAGCTGAAGTTTCTCTTTGTTGTTTATGGCTATACGAAATTTCTTTGCTTCTGCTGTGCAGGTATCATGAGTAGCTGTAACTTGCCCACACACTTCCTGAATATTTCCTTACACATTGTCTTCATTAAAAAGAAAAGCTCCTTCATGTGTAGAGTACTAATCAGAAGACTGACTTGGGCAGACACTGAGGTATTACTTCCTGCAGCCTTGCCAATGCAAACACATTTCCTAGAACAAGTGGAGTAAAATTCCACTTACACAGCAAAGCAAATAGCTTTTCTACACATTCTTGTTAGCTTACCGGACTTTTTTCTTTTGCTGCTTTCGAGTCTGGATAATTTTTAGAATGGCATCTTCTTCATAAGTATGTCCACAGACTTTGTTTCGAACTGGCCTCTTCATTTTCACCTGTAATCAATAAAGTTTGATTTAAAGGCACTGATAATGCCCATGAAAATGCTTCTTACAAGATTTTCTGTAAAACAGCAGGAAGTGTGTTTGCCATTCATACATGGCACTCCACTCAAATTATGGGGTCAGGTCCTGTTTTTGCATTCCTCCTCACGTGTGTTTTTTCCCCAAGCAATGTTGCTCTTCTCTGATAATGCTTGTAATTTATACTGCCTGATTTTTAACAAGTATTGCAGATTTGTAATAAACAATCCAATGAAGAATATGAAATACCTATTTCCCAATCACTTATAGTAGCAGTGATAGCATACCTGTGTAATGGGACAAATAAAGTTCATCTGACTCTGAGTCACGGCTATATCTTCATCGATTTGTTCAATGGCCTCATTATCATTATCTGATTGATGACAAACTATAATGGGAAACAAGACAATTTTCATTTAATATTTATATAGATAGCCAATACTTAAAATAAGCAAATAAAATCCAGCATTTGCCAAGCATTATCTCACAGTGATATCTAAGATGCCACAACATATTTCTGTTCCACTGCCTGAACAAGATACTGCAGAAAAAATACTGTACTATAGTCTCTGTTAGAAAATGTGGATTTTTCAATGGTAACCACTTTTGTGTATATGCATTTGTGGCTATTTATAGCCAATGCTAGAAAGGAGGGCTGGGAAGGAAAGCAAGCTGGCCTAAATATATGCAAAGCCTTTGGTATTCTCTGTTCAAGTTCACCAAAACCCAGTAACGTGCAGATGAGCCCCCAAAATCTAGCAAAGGATGAGGTGGAGCTTTTGCAGATTTGGCAGTCCTACCCTCAAGATCAGTTTGTGTTTGAATGTCATAAATGGCCTTGCTATATAGCCTGCATACACAGTATATACTTTAAAAGGAATTTGTACTATTTATCATAATGCATCGTTTGTAAAGTGATGCCGCTGTATTTTAGCAAGACTATAATTAGTGAAAAACAAAAGCCAAGAAAGTGTTATTTGAGATGGACAATAGAAACATTATTGAAGTAAACTTAAGGAGGAGGGGCAGAATGAAATACTGAAATCTCCCAGAAAACACCTGATGGCCCAATGCCAGGGAATGAGGGGCAGACAAACAAGAAGAAATCACCACTTTGAGCTAGAGAAGATGCAGGTCCCGACCTTTACTAGAAGAAGAAGGCGAGGTGTAAGCAACTCTGCGTACCCAGGGGCACACCAGCCCAGGGTTCCACACAGAAACTAATTAGCCACAGTCAAAAGCTGAGACACAGGAGCAGCTAAGGAGGATATATATTGCTTCAGAAATGTATACATGTTATTTTATCTTTTCCTAACTTTGCGCTGTTATTGTGACTCTAGGCTTTTAGTTGAATGCATTTGTTTATCTTTAAATCTTATCTGGCAATAATAGCAAACTTAACACCTGCCATATCTTTCCATTCCTTTGGGGCAGTTCTGCAATGTTTTTGCAGCAGTGCCCTGGGGTGTAGTCCTCAAGGTGTCCCAAGCTGAACAGAACATTTTTCTCTCTAGCTGCACAAGCTAGTTTGCAATGTAGCAACACAGGGTTCGGAGAGGATGAAATCCTTCAGTGGCCTGTGTGGGCTTCGACTGCCAAGGGGCAGTGAGAAACACAAGCAAACACGGAGGGTTTAGAGTTACTTCATGATTTGCCTTCTACACAGTGTCAGACTTGGTTCCCTTTGCTGCTATTGCACACTGTCAGCCGATCTTTGCATCTTTGCATCCCTGGTATTCGGTCTTCCACATCTGCTAAGTGTTTCCTAACTTATGGTCCTGCATGCCTGTATAATACCATCACCTTCCGGATGATAACAGCAGAGATCACTCTTGGAGCAATCACAGTCTCTCACACCCAGTCTAGACCAAGCACACGGCCATGTGAGCCAGCACATCTCTGGTTGAGGTCCTCCTGGCGTCGGTATTGCAGCCATCGCTCCACCACAGCAGCTCTCAGTACGCTGGTTTTACTTGCATATTTTTCCTTCCTCCTTAACAGAGCTTGCCCTTCTCTCCATTCCAATATACCAAGAGTTTTCCAAGCATTCAGGGACGTTTCTGACCTAGGTACTCCTGCAAATACTTAGGCAATGCTCAGGCAAGCATCAAGGGTATTTCTGTTTCTGTTACTAAGGCCTCATTCAATCAATAGGGTGTGGATTCAGGGGGAAAAGGAGCTCAGATGTCCAATGTCAATAATAATTTTAAGGCTTTAATCTCCAAGAATATTAACATACCTTCATCAGATACTGACTCACGAACAAAAGTAAACACTTGCAAATCACAAGGAAAAACTGGGTACAATTTAACTGTAAATAGCGAAACTGCAATGGTACAGACATCAGAAAGAGACTTGCATCTGTTACCAATTTTCAGAAAAGAAAACCTGCCACATATTATTCTTAGTTTGCTCATATGTAAGGTTTATTCTATCATAAACACATAGTATTTTGAAGAAAATACCACTTTTGGGGGGAAAAAGTGGGGGGTTTTAACAAAGCTTTTGAAATACAAGGCAATGGGTGAAAACCCACTGAGACAGCAAGGCTAAACAATATTGCAAATACTGGTAGGTTCCAGCTTTGGCATGAGCTGTTTTATTTAAATACCATACTGATTTTTTTCCTATGAGTAATGCCAACAACGAACAAGAGATTCAGAATTTCCTTAAATTCATGTATCTGCAAATTTTGACATACTGCAGCTGTAATGTTTCCTGCCGAAAACATCTAGAAACTCACATTTTTCTATGTTGTATTTTGTTTCAACTCATGAATTTGGCATGTGGTTCCAGTGTACCAGCACATCACGCCAGTCAGTGAAGTTAGAACAAAGCAGTACTAGCAAGATCTAGGACAGGTGATTGTTTACAAAGGATGAATTTATTTTTTTAAAATCAACATGTAGATGCCAAGGAAGGTGGATAAAGTTTTAAAATGTGGGGCTTGTGCTTGTGTTTTTACTTTTAAAGCTCAGCACTCCAAGTTAGGCCTCTTCTGAAAGACTCTTCATCTCGCGCAGCACCTTCTGACTTTGCTAAGGAGTCACCGCTTCACTCATCACTTCTGTGTGTGCTTACTTAGGTACTGACACAAGAATTTAGGAGATTGTTGAAGCATCCAAGTTTGAAAATATGAGCTTAAGGTTGGGTACTGGTGCTTGATTCTCCCCTGAAGGCCTCAGGTCTCTAAATTATGTGAGTTAAATCACAGGCTGGGTTTACCTCTTTCTCATGCTGGCTTTGGAGGTGATTTAGATGCTGCATGTTTAATGGTTGAAATTCCATGAGTTGAGACCCACTCCTTGTAGGTGGGATATATTAATCTTCCTGGATTCACATCGTCCTCTTGCTGCAAGCTTATCTTAAAACACTTCAGGTTGCACTTCATTTGCAACGATTTTGTATGCAGTCTACCAGATTGGGGCCCTGGTTTCAAGAGGTTATCACAGCAAAAATGAATATTTATTTAAAATATTCCCTTTTCATAAGCAGCTAATATTTTTAATAATAAATATGCAAGACTGGGATGATGCAAGTGATGCCTCAAACATGTCATAGCAAATTAGCATAAATCAGATAAACCACCCACAGATTTGTTGTCATTGCTTGATGTTCTACATTACAGGAGGAGAGAGGAAAATAACTTTTATCAATTGCAGTAAATTTTGCAGAAATTACGCAGGACGCACATACATCCCGAACTGGTCAGTAAGATGCTCTAAACTGTAGATCTATACCTGTAAACTCATATTAGAAGACATTTTATTAAGTCAAAGGGATTTTTTAGCAAATGAAATGTATAAAAGTTTGGAGGATCTAACTTGCAAGTCTGACTATTCTATAGAAAGAAGAAATAAAAACACCGGGTCACACATATTTCAGTGAAGTCAGGTTACATTTTTGTAAAGTCAAGTTTTCCTGGCAAATTAAAAACAGATGCAGAAAACACTAAGTTATTGTTCCTGAAATTCAGATGTTGCCTTAAGTAACAGAAGTACATACATCTATTTTGGTAGTTTGAGAGTTTTAAGAGCCTTAAGAGTTTCTAGTTTTCCGTTCCAGCCAATTGAAACCTGTTACGAGTATTACTAACACAGTTTCTATCTGGCTATCTCAGCAATGATGTTTACAACTAATTAGTGCCCACTGTTGTAATAAAACTGCATTCTCATAAAGGTATCTATTTTTGGTAACACATCATAATGAATTTTGCAACTGCCAACTGTTTTTTACTTATTCAATTTTAATTAAAAGCTGGTAGTGCTTTATATCTCTATCACTTTCATCTCTTGATAAAAATGTGACTAGTACACCTCAGCTGAGGTTTTACCTACTCTGTTGAGAGAGACTGAGAACTTTTAACCCAGCTTTTAATAATATGAAAACCATAGTGCGGAGACATTAACTGCTATATTGTGAACTATATTAAGCATGGGTAGTATACATATTAAAAAGCATTAGAGGAAAGATCCTCTCTGTTGTCACTGTCACTTCTATGAGAGATAGACTGCTGTCTGCCCACTGCTTCCAGTGCCAACTACCCAATTCCTGTTGCTCTAACCTGGCCCTGAGTGAGTACATGTTGCAATGTAAACTTAATTGATTTCTTTCCTTTTGTGCTGCACTGTTCTGCCTTCTCACCTGCCATCAGTCAGACACTAATCCTGGAAATCAAAGGGTAACGTTAAGCATGCAGGATCGAGTCTTTGTAAGCCTGAGCCACTAGACAGACAAGGTCTTGGCTCGCAAGAGGGTCTATTGTACTGCTGACTCAATAGAAATAACAGCAACTCATCCAGGCTGGGAAAAATGCTATCTCTGAGAGCTCCAAGAAAAACATGAATGTTATGAGGGCAAGTCAAATGCCAAGTGTTCCTGCCAGCAGGACACAGAAAATAATGAAAAGTGGGGGAGGTGAAGGACACCATCACATCCAAAGTTGTATTCTAAGAGTCAGAAGGAGTCTGGGCCACTGCTAGCATAGAGTGAGGAAGGTCTGAGGGCAAGTATAAAGGAGGGAATGAGCCCAAACACTGCTTTCCACGAAACACACTGCTGAGACCACCATGGGCAACGCTTACGAGTAGGTCAGCGTACCCATTAGTGCTCTGAATTCGGGTGAGACTTCACATCCGGAGAGGCAGACCAGAGCAACTGTCCAGTGTCCTGTCCCCAGGACAGATCCGCAGTAAATGCTGTAGGAGGAGTGAAAGAAGAGGGGAAGCACAGAGTAATACCTTCTTGGCAAACGCTCCCAGTCTCTAGCAATCTGTGGCCAAGGACTTCCTGAGTCAGAGGTAATATCTTTGTACTTAATAAGCCCTGGAGTTTTCCTCCAATGAATTTGTCTGAACTTGGAGAGGGGAATTTGGGCCTGGACTTTTCAGCTTGATCAGAGACAGTTATCTTTGCTAGAAAGGTTAGCAACAGTTTAATTTTCCTTGAAACTTACCGCAGAGGCTGCAGGTTATAGTTTAATTTGATTTTTAAGAGGGAAAATAAGGTGTGCAAGCTACAGCTGCAGTCAAACAGTTCAAAGGCTTCCTGCTTTTGCCAGAGGCATGTGATAGTTTAATTTGCCAACCAAGCCAAACTAGGCTTTGCATTAAAGTACATTACAATTTGATTACTTGCTGGTGTTGCAATAGACAACTTGATCTAAGGAAGGTGGCCTCTAACATATTGCTCCAGATTGCAATTGCAAATTTACTCGCTCCTGCCCAGGCCAAGCAATTTGCTGGTAATTTACTGACAAGTCCCTTGTATGTGCCCTGTTTTACACATATGTGTGTAAGAAGTACGTAGACATGCATTTGGTCAATCCAAAAAAAAAATTACAATGCTGTAAATATAAGCCATTCTGATTTTCCTGGAGTATGAAAGACAAATTAGTTGAACAAATTAGCTGAACAAATTAGCAAATTGTTAGTTCCTTTACATAATAAGAGTGGGGAAGGAAAGGACAGTATCCTGCACTAAGCAACAATCCTCTAAAAACTCCTTTAATGCCATCAAATTCACAGCACTCGCATATTTTACACTATTTTGTCCCACTAAGCTACAGGCGTTTTAAAATACACTATTCCAAATTGAAATATTCTTCCTGTTTTAG